TTGTACTTTGTTTGACTCTGCAGTGCCGTTGCTGATCTCAAAACGGGATGGAACTGCAAGTCATGGCCGTGTGTTGAGCCACTACATTACACACAGACTGATAGTTATAACTGTGGTGTGATTGTATGTCTTGTGAGTAGCATAACCACTTGCTAAAACCTGCTTTGATATGACTCTACATCCTAGTTTCGAATGTAATAAAATGTTTTGTTTGTTTGTTCTCAGTTTGCTCGGTGTTTGTGTGAGGGGTTAGATGTCAATGGAAGTTACAACGTGCAAATGGAAAGAGAGAGAATAACGTCTGTCATATTTGGCTCCTGTTACGATGACCTTGATGAGTAAGCTTTGATGGTATCAAACAGTATTGTTTCTCAAATGCCGCAAAACTCTCATCAACTAACTGTATCTTTTTGTTCAATTACAGGAGAAACACCGCAGTCTGTAAGATTTGTAAAGACGACGATGGAGAGGATTGGCTTGGGTGTGATAGCTGTGGCCAGTTTTTCCACGCAAGTTGTCTGAATGTGCCTTTCGCAGAGACGCTTACACAACATTTCACCTGCCGTTAGGGTGGCTTCTTTTCGGATCAAGTGGACTTTAATGTCATGTCTAGACCTTAATCTACCAGGATTGCGAATACAGTTCTTGGTAATCGATTAAAATATATATTCAGGAACGTCACGGATCCAAAATCGTAACGTGATGGAGCCAACAATATGAAGAACATCTCAGAGTTCAAGATGTTTTATTTTTGTTCGATTCGACGTTTAGTTTTCATCCTGAGTGCTTCTGTTAAAGTGAATAGAAAGAAAAAGTTTGAACGGAAAACATAATTATTTATCATATGGTTGTTTTGAGAAAAGGTCTCCTAAATCGAGCGACCTTTATCGAAACATTTGAGGGATGGTAAACACATTAGCCTTAATTTGGCTGTTTCTTGAAGCTCTGAGTTTTCCTCCTTGGATATTTTAACATGGAATAGAGGCGATTGTTTATATATAATATGAAGTAAGAGAACTTCAGCTACTTGAATTTTTGTTATGAAAGTTTTCCATCTTAGCCTGTAGATACAAACTTATAAAAAGACTAAAAAACTATTCAGATCGAGAACTAAATTTTTGTAGAGTTCCCTAGCTTTTCTTTTCCCGGAAAAATAGTAGAGATTGCAAAAATCAAGTGAAAAGCGCGCCAGCTGTGATTAACGCCTTGGACAACCGGAAGTCGGTCACGATACTTTCTTTACGTCGCGTAGCAAGTTACCAAACAAAAATATAATTTTTTGATACCTCTCCCGATACCTTCGTTGCTTATTAGAGCAGTGAAAAATATATTTATAGTCGAAGCTTTTGAAAAATTGCTTAATTTGTTATTTAGCAAAATTTATTGTTAACATTTCGGGATTGATACCACGATTATTTAATGCAACAACTACAAATGATTTGTCTCTACATGATTCATTAAAGCTATTTCACCGCTGACCACTCATATCTCGGACTACATTTCTTGCCCCGCTCGTCGCCCGTGATATAGTAACTCCCGTTTCGTGAGGCCTAGAAAATTTTTAAGGGGTGTACCAAATTTTTGGAGGTTGTTCCATAAAAGAAAAGCGGCATGGAAAATGACGCCTCGAAGAAACAGAATAGGAAATCAACCATGCGAACGACTCAAAATCCGTGTTTCCGCGGCAAAACCTTCCGCATGCGTAATGCATTATTCAGCTCTGCGTTAATTTAGTTTCGATTTCTAATTTCCCCCATGAATCAGCGCGATTCCAGTGTCTTAGTCAAGGAGGAGTCAACTTAACCGACTTCTCAGGCGTTTTCAAGAGGACGATTCGTACCAGGGTAAAACTACTCATGCACCATGCACTTTTCGCTTGATTCATGTAAGTACTAGCGAGGAAATTGTGTCTGAAAGCTAAACTGTTAAACCCCTTGGCGAAGTGCTTCGATATGGTCAGCACTATCTGTTTAATATTCGATGGAGACATATTTCGTGTTTTCGAACCATTTGTTGATAGGTCTTAAAGTTGTACTTCAGGTCTCTACGTTCATCAGTTTTTTTTGTGATGATTTGCTTATTCGTTGTAATTTTTCCGAATTCGGCTGCACTCGCTTGGCCTGCTATGATCACGTTTTTTCAAAGCCAAATTGTTTAAACTCGTGACAGGGATTCGTTGAGCAATTTTGAATGAGGACATAGCCTTGTGTTTTCGAATCATTTGCGAATTGCTACTTATAGTTATACTTAATATCTCTATATTCAGCTGTTTGTGATGTTGATTGCCTTATTCATCACCATTTTGTCGAATCTGGCCGGATTTGCTTGGCTACTAGCAATATTACCCTTGACCGAGGGCTTTGGTCAGCGCTCTCTGTATGTTTGTTCATGACGTTCGTATTTTCAATCTACATCTTCAAAGTAGAACAACTAGATTTTGACAGGCAAAAGTTTGGGCATATCAGAAAGGCAGGGTTCGTAAAGGTCATGGAAAACCTCGAAAGTCATGGAATTTCAAAATTTTATTTTCCAGGCCTGGAAAGTCATGAAATTTAGGTGTGGGTCATGGAAAGTCATGGAAAATCAATATGCTCTGTATGAGTGATAGGCAGTAAGACCCAAAGTTGAAAAGTGAACGGATGAGTCCAAAAATCTGATTTAATTTTATTAGAAATAAACAGAAGTACGCATTGTGAGAATGTTCGCAAACAGTTCATGGAATCTTTAAAAATGTCATGGAAAAAGTCATGGAATTTTAACAGGTCAAAAGTGTACAAACCCTGAAAGGTGAAAACAGTTTGGTCTCCGATAGACAAGTAATACAGTTAAAGTGTTATTTTAAGGTGGTTCTTCAGAATTGCATTGTGCATCCTGTACAATTCACAAAAATTACATGATGAGGCAAATGAGCAAGTGCATTCTAGGTACAAGGTATTGTTTTTCAATCAATGGACCAGGCTAAAAGGTACAATGGTCTTAAGCTCTTGCATGAGCACAGTGACATATATTTCTTATTGCATAGTTTTAGCGCACAAGTTATCCTCTTTAGAATTAGAGAAATTAGAAAAACAAGTCATCAAAGGGAAAAAAATATAGTTTAAAGTGTGCACAAAGCCTGTTACTCCATGATGCAAATTGTGACCTTGAAGGCAATGACTCAAGGAACATTTTGGAGCAAATGATTCCAAATAAGTGAATGTTTGGCAAGAAATTGTTGTTAATGTTATAAAACAAGTGATAAACACCACAGTGTAAGCTACTGAGTTATGGATTCACTTGGTAGGTTTGCTAAGCCCTTAAGAAGCTAGAGTTGCTTGTGGCTATCTCCTGGAATAACTCTTACCCATCTTTTGTTCTCAGCAATCTCCTGCGTGCATCCATAACTCAATTGTGTGGAGGTTGTGGTACTTAGCTTTTGTCAAGTAAACAAGGTAAATATTTTGACATAATCCTACCCCACTAAAAAATATTTCATAAAGAACATAATACCACTTTTAGTCAATTTTGCACACAATTCTTGCTTTTAGCCATCTTGGACTTTGCCCTCACCATGTGTGAATTCCTTGTAAACAACCTGTATTGCACACACACCAGGCAAAGTCCAGTTGAACAACTGGTCTTGGTCCTGAAGGAGATTACAGTGGCACCAATGTGATTTATTTTTGCAAACAATTATTCAGACATCAGAGGCAAAAGACCTTAAAATACTTGTGTCTAAATCCTTATTTCCACCAATATCATTTGAAAGTAAATGCTTGTTTTCTTTTACAAAACTGCAAACACTAGTTAATAAGAGCTTCAACTTGCTTATCCAAAAAATAAACTGTTGCATGCACAGCATGCCTATGTTTTGTTCTAGCCATAGGTCTTTTTTTTCAATGGCTTAAAACAGTGTCACACAGATTGAACCAGATCATACCTTAAATAGCAAGACCCTTATACCCTAAGTGTAATGACCATCTCCTGAAAGATGCCCCAAACTTGTTTATTATCATTCAACAGTACAAATGTGCTGGTAGATATTTTATGCTAAATACTGAATGACATTTTAACATTTTGGATTTCAATTCTTAATAACTTTGTTACAGTTAGAATTTTGTTAAGTTGCTTGTAATAATTTTTTAACATCTCTTTATAGGAGACATGTTTTAATGGCTTCTTCTACCAAAGAACTATCTAATTATGCACGACTGTGTCGCCTTGTCATAGATGTTGGATCATGTTTGTTAAGGGAGATCTTTGACAGGATATCTCCACCAGGAAACTTTCTCACAGTTTTGGCTAATCCCACAATCTATGCAAAATTACAAACACTGCGAAAGAAGAGAGTCCTGAGTACCTCCCAGTGGTATAAACTGTACCCTGTCAACAAATCTTCAGTTTCCTCAAGGGACTTTGACACTTCACTACTGCTACTTCTTCTGAGGAATATCTGGGGTCTGACCCTCCCTGCCTCTGGCCAGGATGACCTTCCTCTGGTAACAGACACCACTCCAACAGCTGACATCACTCGTATCAAGATCCTCAGAGACAGAGTCTACAGTCATGCTGCTGATGCTTCAATTGATGACGTAACTTTCAGTTCTTATTGGTATGAGATCAAAGACACCTTTCTGCGTATCGGAGGGGCCTGCTATGAGGATGCTATCAATAAGATTGAAATTGATAGTATGGATGCCTATCTTGAGGAACACTGGAAGGAGTGTTTCAGAGAATGGATGAAGGATGATGACTGCATCACAGACAAATCACATGAGCATGGAATAGTTAAGAAAGCTGCGAAGGCACGGAAGAAATGCGAAGGCACGGATGGTTCCTTTGACATTTCTGTGCAAAAATCTGGGATGGAAGGCAAGTGTAATTTTTTGCCACTACCAAGTCTTAAACTTTCTTCACTCTTAAGTGTCAACAGTGTTTTCAATAATGGCAGTAAAGGCAAAGTCTGCTTTGGAGACCATAAGAATTTTTCCTTGCCATTTTAAGGAGCATGCTTAAAATTGTGATGCTGATTTGGTGTTTTTAGATTCAACACAGTAACTTCACTTTAAGAAAATTGTCTGCAAATGTGCTGCTACCTTCATTTTGAATGCCATCATTTGGAATCTTACTTCACAACACAGTTGCTTACCTGTATCAAGGCTGTGCTCTAAGAATAATTGAAGGTAGTCCAGTGCTCTGAAACTGTGAAATCCAGGCTGCTCAGCAAATGCTTTTTATGAAAAAACTAAGATTCCTGAGTTGCCCAAGAGCAAAAGTAAGGTGCCAGGGGCCACCAGGCACTGCTAGACCACAGCCCTGCTGTATTATGACAAGTTTGCATTGCTTGTTTCTGCATCTTATGTCAATCTGTTCAATAATTAAGCACTACACACAAAAATGAACTTGTCCTTAACAATGTTACGGAAAAAGTGTTGGCTAGTATAGCCAACATAATCTGCATCACAAAAATTGGAAATTGCAATGAATGGAAATTTTTGTAATTAAAAGACAAAATTGAAAGAAGCATACATTATAGGTAATCATTGTTGGAGCCCCAAGGATCGGGAAGCCATGAGGCTTTCAAACTAGGCCCTCTAAATTAATATTATATTACTATTGTTATCATTATTATAATTATTAATTAAGGTGGCTCGTACCGGTTTTCATCTTTTTGATGGTTTGTAACTTTGAAAGAATACAACAGAAAGACTGACCAAGGCTAGTAGAACACTTTTAAGGGGTTGAATTATATAATCATTGGTTATCCAAAAATAGGTGTTATTTCGTCACTAGCAGTTTCCATGGCAATGCTTTCATAAGCTTATTCAGACGCATTTTTTAGCTTGTGGCTTAAATAGTTCGAAAACTAACCCGGTGACCCCATGATTTTTTTTCAGTGATTGCTTTTGGCACTTGAAAAGGAAAATGCACAAAGATTTTTAAAAAATTCTACGGAGCGGAATTTCAGAAAATCTAGAAAAAAGGTAATTTTCAGACATCGCAAATTTCCTTCCGTAGAATTTTCAATTTTTTTTTTCTAATGATTCCTTTCGACGTTATCATCATATTGGAACAATAGAAAGAAGGGGTCACTGGACTTGTTTTCATGCAATAGCTTTCGTGAGTTTAGCAATTTCCACGCGCATTCTCGCGCATTTAAAAATCTGGATTCTATAAGATCGACATTTGCTCATGATCTGTTATAGCTATCGCTGACAATTGCGTGTGCTCGCGTGTGCCTAC